GGAGCCCGGAGCGGGGAACGGAGCCCGGAGCGGAGAGCGGGGCCCGGTGCCCGGAGCCCAGAGCCCAGAGCTCGGAGTCCGGAGCCCGGAGCGGGGCACTGAGCCCGAGGAACGGAGCCCGGAGCGGGGAGCGGGGCACTGAGCCCGGGGAGTGGAGCTTGGAGCGGGAATTGGACCCCGGGGTGGGGAGTGGAGTCCGGGGCGGCCGCGGCTGAGGCAGGAAATCCGGCCCCGAAATAGCCCCGGGCTAATGGGATTGGCGATGTGCGGCACATCCCGTGCCAGCTGTGCCCCACATGGAATCCCCCCGGGTTTGGAAGGGGCTCTGAGGAGCTGGAGCGTGTCCGCCGCTTTGCGAAGGGCTGGGAGGGTGTGGGAGCACGGTTGAGCTTAATCCCACCAGCATTATCGCAAAAACGCTGCTAAAGGGCTGCCCCGAGCTGTGACACTGGCTTTTGCTAAAAACACCGCAGGGTCAGCCACAGCTCTGCTTTGCCAGAAGGACAGAAAAGGCAACAGAAACACCAGGGGATTTTTAATTTTTTTTTTTTAAATTTTTTTTTTTTACCTTTAGGACAGTGTATTACACCCAAGAAGATGAACGCAGATGGCCTTGGATATGGCACTTCATGGAAATAAGATGCAAAAAGTGTTCCCGGGTGTGAAAAACGCCAATCACTTGGTTTTTAAAACTTAAAAATTTAATAATAATAAAATTGTTATAAAAATAGTAATACAATTCGAGTAATAAAGTTCAGAGTTAGGACAATTACAAGGCAATAAAAAGCAAAGAATTACTGACATCTGGATGTGACACTAAGTCAGGAAAAGCATGACTTGGGAACAAAGGAATCACCCTTACACCAATATACTTGTTGCATATTCATACATCCTTCATGGTTATGCATACATTCTATTTAAAACAAGAAACTCTGTCTGTTGTACATCAATCCCCACGGCATCTTTGAGTCTGAGCAAGGCCTGAAGAAATTCGCTTTTTCTGATAAGAAGCCACAAATTCCTCTCCTTTGGAAGATTTAGGTGTTCCTCAAAGCAAATATCTCATTCCTAAAAAACAATACTTTCCCACATACACAGTCTCTATTTTAACATTATGTTGGAACCTAAAACTATATTTAACACACTCTTGAGAGAATCAATCCAGCATAACTTTCTAACATTACACATATAATATTCATTGTAACATTTGCGAAAAGCTAATCATAACATATGCATTTTTCACAAGGGCATGAAATCTTCCCATATGTTCAGGTACAATTTCCATAGGTTATGTCATGATAAAAGCAGCTCTTCTGTATTCTGAGATCTTGCTTTAAAACTGCTATTTCAGGTTAGCTGATATTACCTCTTTTTGTTTTGTTTCAGTGAAGTTTTTTTTTGTAAGAAAAGCTGATTCTTCAGTCCTGGGATGCAGAGTGCGTTGTCTGTCACTGGGATTTTATCTTCATGCTGGGTTTGGACTGCCTGGCCAAAGGACAAGAGGTTTTCTCTTCTCTCACGTGTGATGAAGTGCAGCAAAAGTGATCTTGTGTCTCTTGGAAGAGAGAGCTCAGTGCTGAGCTCTACATTAAATATAAAGAAGGATTGGGCAGCACGAGATGGATGCAGGAGAGTAATAAATCCATTGATGCAGTGGGGTGTAAAGCAGAGGGGAATAAACAGCTCTGCCTACACATGGTTCAAGTTTTAACATTCAGTTGTTTGCTGAGTGGGCTGCTCGGGGCTGGCCCTTTCCTTGTACTTTGCTGCAAGAAATTAAAATAATTTATATGGGATAAACATTTCTTGTACCTTTTGTGCCCGTACAGATGAGAGGAGTGTGTGTGTGGAAGGGCACAGCAGGAGCCAGCTCAGTGCCAGGAGCTCGTGGAGGCAGGAATCTGGAATTCTGGAATTCTGGAATTCTGTGCAGTTTGGATCAGCCAGACCTGCCTTGTGTCCTAAACCTCTCCAGCCCAGAGGTTCACCTTGCATTGGCTCCTCTGAGGTGTTTTCCTTCTCAAGAAGATACCGTGGCAGCCAGGCTGGGAGAGGTCAGGATCTGGAAGGATCTGGAAAATAAAGTGAGAGATTTCATGCCCTGGGTTAAAAACCACAGGGAAAAGGGCTGGGAGAAACATTTCCTTTTCTTTAAAAATCTAATCAACATGCACAGAGAATAACACGGAGTAACTGAGAATAACCCAGATCCCCACAGCTCCCACTAAATGCTTTGATTATTTATCATTGCCCATTTTTTATGGAAACAGTTGACATTAGATTATTAGTGACCTGGGTGGTATTTGATTTTTTTTCCCCCTGGAGGTTAAAGACTTTGTAGTTTCCTGTTCTAGGTCCTTTTTAAAATTCATTTTACAACATGAAAAATATATTGTTCCGTCAAGTTTATTTCTCTGACATTTATTCAGTGCAGAGTGTGATCCTAATATTAAAGGTTTTTGATTTGAAGCTCAGGACACAGACAAAGCTTTTCAGTGGTCTTCCCTAAAACAGGGTATTTCATCACTGCCTGGGAAGTTATTATGTTGGAACAGCATAATTGTTTGAAGGAGTATTTGTTTTTCAGGGATTTGTGGGTGATATTAGGTGGCTCAGCCCAGTTGTGTCACGAAGTATTAAGGTTGCTGCCTGCTGAAGCCATGGAGCTGGGCCTATATAGAGCCATAAATAATATTGTGGGAGAGCCAGTGACAGACTTTGACTCCAGCTCAACTCTTTATTACTTGTTATATTAAATTTAAACACAATTGTTGAATTTCTTGCTGTGGGCAAACGCTTTTTGATGTCTCCTTCTATTAAAGTTGTACTATCCCTTTTAGCCTGTGAAACTCACTCTTGCCAGGTGTGTTTCTGGAATAATCAGCCCCTCATTAATGATGCCAGCAGAATTAATTGGGCTGTCAGCAGGAGGTTGGGTATCCAGTTGGAGATTATGGGGCGAGGCCAGTGGAATTAAACACATTTTGACTGTGGGGAAAGTTCATGGGGCTCAATAATGAGATGTTCATGGGAGTTACTCTGTAGGAAAAGGCAGTTTCAGGCTGGAACACTTTTTAACTCTGGAAATATGAAGGACAAATGCAAGAACTCTTATGAAATTTGAAAGCATTTGTTGACAATTTGAGATACAGTCAAGGTTTTCCTCTTTATCAGCACAGAAAGTACTGCCAAGCAGCCCCCAGACACCATAAATCATCCAGGAGAGTGCAGAGGCTGAGAAGATTACAAAGGAAAGGCTCTGGGGCAGGCAGCACCCTGAGAAGTGATTGTTTAGGGCCTGCTGGATTTAAATTGGTCATTTCAGCTGCCATTAACTCCTATCCCTAATTAGAAAATGGATTGATCTTTGCTGAAAGTTGCTGGAGACTGGCAGGTGTCCCTGGCAGATCAGAGCTCTGCATACAAATGAGATGGTGAACATGTCCACTGAGTTTCAGAGAGGGAAAAGAAAAAAAATCCATATTTGTAGGCAGCTGTTGTTAATTTTGCTTTGGGATTGGTGTTGGAAACAACACTCCAGTCAGCAAGGCCATGCTCTGCCTTCCTGATTTTCCTTGTGCTTTCAGCTGGATAAACATCCTTCCTAAGGAGGTGGGAAAGGGCAAATTTTTATCTTCCTCCTTTGGTGCCTGCAAACTGCAGATTTCCTCATGAGTCCTCTCTTCTTGCAGGAGCAAGAATTTCAATTTCAATCACCCCGTGGGAAAACAGCAGAAAATGCAATAAAGTTCCACGAGGCAGCATTATCAAATCTCCATTCACAGGGATGGATATCCATGTGCATGCAAACATCCAGATCCTCACTGGACACTGAATTTCCAAACCACATCTTCCCCAACAGCCTTAAATCTTTTGTGTCTGAATAAACCAGTGCTGCTTGACAACTGCAGCCTGGGAAAACCTCAGATCCTGCTGCTGCCAGGGACACCCAGAGGGGTTGGTTTCTAGATCAGTTTGGTTTCTTGTCTGCAGCTTTGCATCAGTTCTTTTTGCAGAATTGTTGTAGAGAGTTATTGTAGATGCTTTAAATAGCTGGATGTTGGAGAGCAGTGGTTTTTCCTTGTTTTACCAAGGAATATCACAGCCTGAACATGACATTAATTCATGGGAAAGAGGAGAATCAAA